AAAAACTGCAGCATATTGAAGCTGAGTTATGTTGGACATTAAAAAGCTTTAATCAACATTAGACATATCTGTAAAACTAAATGATTATGTTCAACTTCTATGTATATGGTGCCAGTATTTGCACAAATTGAAAAATAAATCACAAGATGCACAATTGTCCAGTATTAATGCACGTCCCATGGGTGCTGCACTCATTAATACATCATGCCGTCATTTGACCAGCATGCCGCTTTGCACAGGATTTATACTTCTCTCATTAATTACACCCATTAACTTAACAGGGGAACTATAATTGAAGGTAGAAATAAGTCTGTGAAAATGTAAAGCAGTGATACATTCTGTAAGTGACTGCATCATCCACAGGGGATAACATGTTGAGTTGTATATATTTCTGCTCTTTGTTTCTTCCCAGCTAATGTTCTGTCTCCGTGGAGTTTATCTCACGCTTTTGCTAAACTTGAAAAACGGCTCTAGCACACATCGCTTCTTTCTTCTGCTGATTTATTTGCCACAGTAACACTTTCATATTTTTTCTTAAGGTGTCACTGTGCTTCATACAATTCGTTGGAATTAGCAAGGCCCATACACCCTTTCCACACTTCCCCTGTGTCTAAGTGCTGAGTGAACCTGACAGATCTATATCAGCCCTCTCTCATTATAGGATTTACTGAACTTTTATCGTTCCTGGTGTCCTTACAGTCCTTTCACACAGGTCTCTCTCTGTACCTGTGTACTGTATCTATCATGTGTCCGTCACTCTAAGTCTGTCTTTCTGTCTCCCTCTACAGTGTTCATTTTCTCTGTCAGCTATTAGCTAATCCCTCTTCTAATCCTGTTAAAGAGCGTTATGCTGTTAGCTGCTATTTGGTATGATCTATTCACACACACGCACACACACACACACACACACACACACACACACGCACGCATACATAGGTATTCATCCTCTCCTCTGTTTTCCATTTTGCCTCTCTGTAAATGTGTTTTCTGTTCCTCTTCAGCCACCAGATCTTTTATTCATGAGCCTGAGATGGAGAAGAGATGGGCTAATTTATTCACAGCTAACTTTGGCTTGCCACGGTGTGTAGTGTGTGAGTGTGAGTGTGTGTACACACAGAAATTACATCTGTTAGGATTATTTGAATGCAGTTCTCTCCTTTCTTGTATGAATCTTTTGTATTTAATTTTTGGTATTTTCATGGTTTTCTTCCGTACTGAAGCATACTGTCAATTGAGGACAGACTCGGTAGAAAAGATGGATGTGGCTTCCAGTCAAACAGAGTTGAAGTTTCAGAACCACGAGGGTTTGTCCTTTTAAACCCAGGTCAGCTAGTGATTTATAATCATGGCAGAGATGATCAGTCTGTGTTCTTAGTCCTGTGCAAATCCACCATGGAAAGAAAAAGTCTACCACAAATTAAACATTTCATCAAATGTGTCTCTCCAGGCTGAGTCTCTTCCTCCTCCAGGCTGTGAGGTGTGCAGGTTGCAGTGGGAATTATTAGTAAGAGTTCTAAAAGCACATTAGGTGCAAATTTAGGAGTCTCATCTGGTTATCGATTTTGGCGGTTGTTAAAAACTGAGCTTGAGAGATAAAGCTGAAGTTATGTCTCAGCCACTAGATAATCCTGGCTATTTGGTCCATAAATTTGAGTGAAACATACCTCGACATTATCCTGCACCAATGCGCTGAATGTAACGTTTATGTGGGGACTTTGATCCCTTAAATCACACAAGGTCCCCAAGGAATTCCAGTCCAATGATAGCGGGGCTGTTGTGCTGAAACAATAAGCCTATTTATCCGTTCCAGCAACTATTTTGATCATCAAATAAATTAGAAATATATGAACTAATATTGCTCTAGGATGTGGATCCATGTTGGTTAACAGTTGCTCATTAATAGGTCTGTCAATCCAACACTGTGGTTCAGACTGAATGTGTATTATCTGTTTGATGGATTGCTGTTAAATCTAGTTCAGAAAATCATCTGTACAGGAGGGATCACTCTGTCACTTCAGCGATTCCTTGACAAATTTAAATTTGTCCATTACTTTGATTTAGGACCAATTATCATAGACCGTAAATAAAGATAGACAACATGACGGCTTCTTTAAAGTGGAGTCAAAGCACTTTTGGCTTCATTTCGGGATTTTTTTCTGGATACAAAGTCAATTCAAAATAACTAAAACTGATATTCCCATCAGCCTCAGCTGTATTTAGTGTTTATTGCTGATTATGTTAGCATGCTAATTTATCTAAGATGATAAAAATGGTAAATCAGCTTAACAGCTCCTTATTGACATTTTTAATGTGAGCATGTTAGCGTGCTGATGTTAGCCTTCAACTCAATGCTACTTTGCCTACAGTAAATGTCTGTAAGCTACAGTCTCTCAGAGCTGCGAGCATGACCTAAGTTGTTTCATTTCAATTTGGTTTTCCCTAAGATTTTGTTACTTTTATTGAAACCAAAACAAGTGATAGAATTCCTTCCTTAGCAATGAGACATCTCCATAGTTTGCCATAGATCTTTACAGTATGTTTTAGTGATGACAGAAACTGCAGAGGGAAAATAAAGCACATATGGACATACAGACACCAGATCTGACTCAAGAATAAAGGATACATTGATCAATTTCATTCTACAAGTGATAATGATGTACAGGATGTTTCCCCCCTTTCTGATTACAGTGGATATGAATGTAGTCCACCCTGACAGTCTCACATACATCTGCATGATTGGTGTCCAGTTCTGCTACAGTCAGTGTTGGGATTATTCATCATTATTACATAAAACTCCCCTACTCCCTATGAACATACATTCATTATTCATGATTTCATTAACCTCTCCAAATACAGGCAATTTCACTCTGTCTAGAAAATTAGACAAAGGTTCTTACTCACTCCTTATGTTCCAACCTCTAAACCTAATGTAGCTGTATTTGACACTTTCACTTCACATTAGCAGACTACTTGCTGTTAAATACTTTGCCTTTAAGGTCAAGAAAGTCAGTTTAATCAATTGACACAATCCGCAATAGATATGTAGAATAAAGATCAGTGTACTATTCAAACAAAACATTTAAATGGCCATTTAGCTTTTGATATCTTTAACAACATTCTAAACAGAAATAGAGATGTTTTAGAATTTTATGTTGTTTACTCAAACAAAAAAATAAATCTAGTCTCCATTACTACATGCTAAACAGATATGACCTTTGTTAGCCTGCTTGCTATTTGTAGTTCTAAATATAACTTAAGGCCCTAATTCCTTTTCTCCAAACCCAAAACTGAATCAAAATGACAAAATGAATATATCTTTCTAACTCCAGTAATTTCTTCCAGCATATTTTAAACCATATAATCAATCAACCGTGCATTGTCAGGCCTATTCTACACTTCTGATAGTGTAAAGACAACTCTTCTATGGTATTTCAAGCCAACAACTAACAATCATCAACTTTTCTAAAATGTAAAGTCTGATATGTGCTGTTGTAGACCTAAGTGTGGTGTTGCTTTAATTATTCATTTCACCACAGGATTAGTCTGTTGCCTCAGACAAGTTTAACAGCAGAGGTGCAATCTTTTTTGCAACAATTCAACTTGGAAAAATAACATTTGTGTAGATAAGCTATTCATTTTGATAAAATAATTATAATTAGGTATTAACTTGCGTATTGTTGGTAGACCACTGTTGATAAGCTAACTGAACTATCATTGTCGTGGCCTATGTTAATGATGTTGAAGGGTTTCATGTTTTATTGAAACAGAAAATTTCCAGCCTTTTTCTTTCTTTTTTGTGTCAGAAAATGGTTTGATACTCTTTTTTCAAACTGAGTGCAAAGAAATTTTCATTAAAAAGCCCCTTTTTAATTTTTCCATTTTCATTTCAGAGTACGATATCAATGAAGATGAAGGTAGACAGCTTCTTGGGGTTTCCAGTGTTCATCGTTTGTTCATAATTCATCATGAAATGTCACAATTAAATTATAGGCTATATAATTCACACTTCCTCATGACTAATAGGTGCAATGCAATTTGTTGCATGGGTGTAAAGGAAATGTCAGAGAATGGGATAAAAATCTCCTGGTCTCCACTTTTTTCATGGCTTTTTGCAAGAATCTGGGTCCAGATATAAAACGGCTAAAACCTCTGCTGATTGACCTTGTCCTTTCAAAAATGCCAAATGATCAAATCATATAGTTTCATCATTAAAGCAGCTGTCACAGACTAATACAGAAGATACTCTTCAGCTATTCTGAGAAACATCTCAGCATTACCAAGTAGCAGCGGAAGGTGTATCAGTGAGGGCCTCATATATCAGTGAGGCCCTCACTGTCCGCCAAGCAGTGATTGCTTGAGAATCTGGGGTCAGGCTAATAATGATTCCTGCTCCATTAATTTTACTCCTCCAGCTCGGACCGGACCCTTTTAAGGGTGGCATGTGTTTAATTAATCATCTCGTCCTGATGTCTGGTCAGTGGTCACCCTATCCATCTCTCACAGTTCCTCTCCGTATGAATAAAGAGGGCTTTTCATTAAGTGTGGAAAAATGGTCAAATGGAAGACCTAATTAATAGTCAGTTCTCTTTCTAACACTCCTGTCTTTTTGTTTTCCCCTTTATTCTCTCAGACTAATAAAGGTGATGCATTGGCCAGCCGCGTCCAGAACACGCTGGGCTCCTATGAAGAAATGAAAGACCTATTAACCAGCCATTCCAACCAGAGCCACTTGGTGGGAATCCCTAAAGGCAGCAGTGTGAACAACAACCTGCAAACCCCGACCACTTCTGCAACAGAAAGACCCGCCATGGACTCTCAGCTTTTCAATGAAACTTTAAGAGGAGGAGCAGGTAGTGGAGGAGGAGGAGGAGTAGAGGCTGGTGGGGATAAAAGGATGGGGAACCCAACTTCTTCATCTTCAACCTCCATGCAACCTCCTGCTACGACCACGTCATCATCAAGCACATCAACAAATCCACATCAGAATACGAAGAAGTCCCGAAACTCCATGGACTGGTCAAGGGGAGGCCACGGACAGAGTTCCCAAGGAGCAGGCCTTGTTTTGGGGTTAGGACAGAGTGGCCAGGTGCAGGCTACAGGATCCACCGGTGGCAGAGGAAAAATCTCTTTATTAGAGGAACAGCAAATGCAAAGACACGAAGAACTGTTCAGCTCGCTGAAAGATGAACTAGGTCTAAAAGGGGATTCAAGCCCTTCCTCTTCCTCATCGTCTTCTTCATCCTCCTCATCTTCCTCGAGAAGGCACTCTTCCCACCCCTCCAAAGCCCTTCCTCTCCCAGGTAAATCTGACACGATGAGGCCTGAAAGGTATAGACAAATGACAAATTTGGAAATTTAGAAGAAAGACTCAGTCCATGTGTCTTTCCTTTGCTTCCTGTCTTCATCCTTATGAAGACATTGTAGTTGTGCAATATGTCATTCACCTGTTATTCCACCTTTCTAAAAATGGTTACCGATGTTCTTAGGTCCTATCCCAATTCCCTAGACATGAAGTGCCCTTTACTGGGAGTGTTCCCCTCCAAACAGAGCCACAAGGGAGAGGGCAAGAATATCTTCCCCTAGAAACTGGGACGCCACTCACTATGTCATCAGCAAAAAGTTAAAATATTACAGGAATAAAGTTGTAAGAGAGATGAGGTCATAATATTACAAAAAGTAATTTCATGAGGAATTGAATGAAGAAATAATCATACAGAGTTCTAGTGCTCATCAAAACTCCACTACATTTAAAATCACACTGTATACTATACTATACTTACTTATAGTGTGGTGCTGATGAGCCAAAATATTCAATATTTATAATTATAATATATTTATTTATAATATATTATAATTATAACTAAACAAGATGCTCCTCATTTCAACACAGGCGACAGACTGATCAGGCGACAGACTGATATTTTCTCTGATATCACCCCTCAATGTAATATTATGACTTTTTCTACCATATTATTTTTTATTCTTGAAATCTCTGATTTGTATTCTGTTTTACGTCATCCTAATACTCACTCATAGAAGTTATTTTTATCAATTGACAGATATTCTCACTGTCACTGAGTGTTGACTAAGCTAATGGATGCTGATCATATTTTAGCAAACAGACAATAACAGAGGTTTGGTATCTTTTTGTGTCATTCTTGTGTGAATGAGAATGTGAATATGTGAGTTTCCCAAAATGAGTAACTATTATAGAGTATATCAGAATGTGGTTAATCAAACAGGAATGTAACTTCCTATATTTTCATATTTGTGGCAAAACAGACGGACAGCTTTAGAAAGGGATTTCTGAAAATTACCATCTGCTTATGATGATAGCCACATCTCACAGTTGATTTCTAAACCACCCAGCAACCCATAATTTGTTATGTTTGTGATTGGCTCCATCCATCTGCGAGAGGGATTTTTCTGGCATCCAACCTTCATTAGATTTTGACAGCACAGAGCAGAGCAATGTTCTGCTTGAGCAGGTGTTGCATTGGTGAATTCTGACTTTTCCTTTTTTGGTTTTCTTCTCTTTCCCTTCTCTCTCACAGATGGTGGCAATTTTCGATCTTCCACCATGGACGGTGGCCACTTTAAGTCTTCCACTAACACAGAAACCGGAGGACATTTTAAATCCTCCCCGTTTGAAAATGAAGCAGGTTCTCACTTCTCGATGTCCTCGTCCCCGCTGGCTTCCACATCGGTTGTGACAACCCCTACTCCCGGTCTGACCACTCCCACATCCGGACTAACTACCCCCACCTTCCCTCCTGGTAGCCTATCAGGGAAGCCGGTCGCAGTTCAGCAGAAGCCCACAGCCTATGTTCGACCAATGGACGGCCAGGACCAGGCGCCTAGTGACTCTCCCCAGCTTAAACCCCCTCTAGTGGCCACGGAAGGATTTAACAGCAGTCAGGCTTACGGAGGAAACTCTGGAAATGTGAAGAGTAAGCTGCCAAAACTGACTCTGAGCCACACAGGGGAGGTAAGAGAACATCCATTGTGATACAGTAACACTCAGCATATAGTAATGAATGCAGTCCCCTCTAATCAGTATTTCACACATATATTGGTGACTATTATGATCTCAGCTTTAACAGGTTTTATATGATTTACTACTCAATACCAAATAATATGAAGTTTCTAAGTAAGTCAGAATAATTTGTTTTATATCATATATTCATGATTAGCCACATATCAGCCCTTAAGCAAGAATCAGAAGGCAAAGTAATATTTTAACAAATGTTTGGCCATTATATGCAATAGTGAGCATGGTAGCTAACAGGCACTATTGAAATTCTAATCAATAGACTTTCTTTAAAAAAACTTTTTACAAACTCGAACCAGCAGCATTGTGTTATTTATTCATAGGGCCAAAGTTGTTTCAGATGTTTGGATCCCACAAACA